CCCAAACTTCAGCGTCCTAACCATGTTTCCATTCAATGGCTGCTGGGGCTGCCCAAGGCTGTGCAGTGACTTGACAGCAAACCGGACCCACCAAATCCCAACCCTCCCTCTGCTTCTCTCCAAACTCAGGCCAGGCGAGCTTCAGGGGGAGCAAAAATGACAGGATGGGCCGGGGTCCTCGAGACCACCCTCGGGCTCTATGATTCACCAGGACTCACAGGCTCCAGAGCTGTTACACTCACGGTTATGGTTTATTACAGCAAAAGAACACAGAGAAGTCAGCAAAGGGGCGAGGCTGTGGAGCGAAGTCCAGGCACACCATACACAAGTGTCCAGAGCCCTGTCCCCATGGAGTCACATGGACACCAGGCTCTTCCTGGGGTCAGCCACTGGAGCCCAGGCCCTATAGGGAAAGCAGGTGTTGCCCGTCAACATGTTGTTACATAAGCCTTCAGGCACACGGCAGGGTGTGGCTCAAGGCCATGGCAAGCACCACCTGCCTATTAGCCAGGTCCTTCCAAGCTCAGTTCCCCGGAGCCAGTGGAGGTCTGTCGTGAATACAGGACCTTCCTGGGGCGTGCAGGTCTGACCAACCTCGGACCGCCAAGCTGACCCTTTCCTGCACACGGGCAGAGCAAAACTTCAGGTAAACCTCAAAGTCTGACCGCCGCGGCATCCCCAGGGGCCACAAAGACCACTACCCTCTAAAAGGGCCTGTGTGGTGGGGGAGAAAGGAGGATGCTATGGGTGAATATTCTACAGGGCGTTATCCTGATTCTTCTCATTTCGTTTTAATGTAGGATCCCCAGGAGAGCTGGAATCCTATCTTAATAAAAAAACACCTTCAGAAGAATGCATAAATCGGTTTTTTAAAAACGTACAACTGAAAAATGCATCATCAAAATACACCAACATGTTGAAGCAAACCTACAGCAGAAGCACAAAAAAAGGAAGCTTGAGCAAAAATTCTTCTAATTTCAAGAACAACGTGAAAGTTAAAAAAAAAGAAAAAAAGGAAAAAAAGGTACCAAACTGCAGACAGTTTGTGACATGCTTTCAAACAGAAAGCAGAGAACAGTTCTCCTCTGTCCTTCACACTGACCGGCTGGCCACAGGCTCGCTGGGAGCAGCCGTTTTTAGGCTTCCTGTGGCAACAGCCTTATAAAGGCCCCAGTGTGTGGGACAAGGACAGCTTCAACTGGATCCTAACAGGCACAGACTTCACTGAGGTGAGCACCCTGCTACTTTTTAACCTGTTTCCCACCAGTAACAAAGTAATTAGTGAAGCTGATTTCCTGAAATGGCCTAAGAGACTAGTTCCACTATCAGAACAGAATCCCAATGCTGGGAGAACAAGTGGAAATTAACATAACTTCCATGACTTCAGCCACAGGAGCCAAGGAGGAGGGTAAGGAGGGTTTGTGTGAGCCCACCCTACACTGCACGTGTATGCGCACCACAGCTAGAAGCAGGGGCTGCCGTGCCGCGCACACACGGCCCAGCGCTGGGACACCGCGAAGAGGATGGCACAAACGATGCCGGGGCCAGGGTCGGAGTAGCCTGCACCCCACTGCAGGCCTGCGGGAACAGTCGGAGCCCCAAGAACACATATCTGGAGGCACACCCTGGTGGTGCAATGTGATAGCAACGACGGGGACTCGGCACTAAGCGCCGGTGCTACAATCACCTACCTGTGAGGCTGTAAAACGACAAACTTATACTTATTAATAATCTGCCTTACTCCCGAAACGTAAAGAAATTTATATTCAAAGCATGGCAAAGTATGTTGTTGTTGTTAGGTGACGCTGAGTTGGTTCCGACTCATAGCGACCCTGTGTACAACAGAATGAAACACTGCCCAGTCCGGCACCATCCTCACAGTCATTGTTTTGCTTGAGCCCATTGTTGCAGCCACTGTGTTCATGCGTCTCACTGAGCGTCTTCCTCTTTTTTGCTGACCTTCTACTTTGCCAAAGCATGATGTCCCTCTCTAGGGACTGATCCCTCCTGAAAACATGCCCGAAGTATGTGACACGAGCTCTCGCCATCCTGGCAAAGTTCAGTAAAGTTTGATTATATTGGGTGGGAGGAGAAAACTGAAAGAATACGTAAAAGGATATGAAGAGTAAGAAAGTAAAGAGTCTAAGACTAGTTTAGAAAACTTACCTCTTAAAACTCTGACCCTTGCTACACATGAGCCACAGATTCTGACTTTAGATTTTCTAGCAGCTGATTTGAAGAAGAAAATCAGTCACTGCCTCTCCAAGTTAACAGGACTGTGGACATCCTGGGGCTGTTACTTACGTGCCCCAACATGCACTTTGGGAATCCCACAGCGCAATCACGAGCAGTGACTTCAGGGCCACCCTGAGAGGGTTAAATCAGAGTCTCAGTCTCCCAGGGCTGCCTGCCATAACAGATATACCACAAGGGGGTGGCTTTAAAGAACAAAAATTTATTTTTTCACAGTTCAGGAGGCTAATGTCCAAACTTAGGCCGCGGTTCTAGGGGCAGGTCCATTTTCATCTATTTCAGCTTCTAATAGATGCCAGCAACCCTTAGAACTCCTGGATGTGTAGATTCATCTGCCCCCTTATCTGTCTTCCTCTTTCCTGTGTCTCTGTGTCTAGTCTGCTCTTTTTATAACTCAGAAGTGATTAGGTTTTGGACCCACCCTACAGTGGTAAGGGCTCACTGACATAACAAAAGGAAACTCCAATGTCCAAACAGGTCATACTTACAGGTACAGGATTAGGATCTCAACACATGTTTCTGGAAGACACAATTCGATCTACAACAACCAGCTATCAAGCATTGATATCAATGTATCTTAGGAATGGTGGACTGAAAATTTCTTGGGCAATTTTTAAAAATTCTCTCTCTCTCTCAAGCAGCTTCTGGTAGACGTTAAGCAGTTACTGACTTCAAGACTACATCCTGACAGACACTGCCTGACGGTAAACTAAAGAGCTGCATGCTTTCCTGACCAGCTGGATGAGGGCAGGACTGACTGCATCCTCTGTCAGAAGGAAGTGTCCAACTGCCTGGGCTCGGGCAATACTTCCCAAGAGAAGAATGCTGCCCCTCGGATAAGTGCCTAGCACAGGGTCTGCGTAGGAGATGCTCAGAAATGGCTGCCATCATCATCACGATCATTAGGTAACAGGGAGTCATCCCAGATCTGAGCTGGCTGGTTAGCCAACAATAGAGTATAATACTGTTAACAGTATTAACAGTAATAACAGCAGCTAATGGCTGCTGAGCACGCACATGCCATGCCAGGCATACGGAAGCACTTCACACGAGAAAGGCTAAGTCCTTGCTGGGGTCACACTACTAGAACTGGTAGAGCCAGGACTAGAATCCAGCCACTGACTCCAGGGCCTGCCCCAGGTGCCCTCAGGGTGGACAGACCGTCATCTGAGGAGCCAAATATGTGGCCACTCCCCGTAGGTGACAAAGTCTCACACAGGCCTAGGCCTGGACAATCCTCTCAAAAACTCAAACAAGCAGACAAAAGGAAACTGTTTAAAAGGGTCATAAATCTCTCATCACTCACTGGAAAGCAACTCAAAATGGACGCCTCCAGAAGCATTACCCCTGAGCAGGGTGCCATGGGTACCCCCTCACTGTGGTGACCACAGCTTTCGCCTGCAGGTCATCTGGCCATGTTTACTATGTGGAATGAACAATTTAGGAAGTTTTAAGTCAGGATTTGCCAAACTGCGGCTTGCTGGATTCTAGGTTCTGACACCTTCCTAGTAACCCTCTTTTACTTCCCCTGAGTATAGTTCAAGCACTGGGGACACAACTCAAAAACAAAGAGCTTAACAATGATCCAAGAAGAGTCAAGCGGACACAATCGTCAGGGCAGAAGTAATGAAGTTCTTAATTTCCTGAAAAGTCTAATAAACGCACGTGAAGTACACACCAGTGCCTGCGGCCCATGTGTGTCGAACGCTGCAGAATGATGTCGGAGGTTCTCTGTGCTATAAAGCAAACGCACTGGTCTGTTACTGCAAACCTTCAGCTTAATATAAACCCTTAGGCAGTAAAGAACAGAATGTGTGTGCCTGGTCTGACCAGGCAGCGAGGGCTGGTCCTCCTGGAGCTAGACCCGCAGCTCTGTGGGCGAGTTTCCAGCACCCCTAGTCATGCCTCTTTCCACAACATAAACTGCCTCCCACTAACAAAAGGGAACCTTTCAGCACTCCCATAACACCTTAAAACCAACCCTTTTCTGCTTAAATGGCACACCTCTGGAAAAGCAAGCTACAACTTTAAGAATCAGGAACAACGGCTGCATCTGAGGGGTGAAAGAGGGCAACATCCTAGCTGGGTACTTGGCGAAGTGAAAGTCTCTAACAGCACACTCTGGGCCAGACCCTGCTGAACCAGCATCACCCCACACTACAGTGACAGCCACAGCCGGCACCGCCTCTGCCTCAGCCTGTGTGTCCCCCACTCGAGCAACCCTCCCTCAGTGCCGCCAGTATCCCCACTGTTGCCCCAGCAACTTGGCCCTGGAGCCTCCGCAGTTCCCATGGCAGCCCATGGCAACATATTCCCACCAAATGCCACGTGGCCCTCCTCCAAACCCTGTGACCTCATCCGCATCACCTGGTGACCCCATCGGTGCCCTCCAGGACCTGAATGATTCACCCAAAGGAGTCACTAAGACTCAGTCGCCCAAAAAATTAAATGATCTAGATTCCTGCAGGATTCTGCTGGGCAAAGCTCAACTTCTCATCCTTCTCTTAAAACCCGCACCCTAGCTTCCACGACCGGGTTTCCTGTTCCTGTGCTCAGTCACACAGCTGTTCAAGTAGCTGTGTGAGGCCCTGGGAAGACAACAAGGAAACCACTTGGACAAATAAACCAGAAACACCTCCACCGCGCACCAGCCGTAACAGCTCGGTCTTAATGACGCCCTCATGCTGAGAAGATAAATTCGAGAAGGGAGGCCGGGCCCGCTTCCCAAGTTCTGTGGTCGCACTCACCGTTGGACAGCGCCTGCTGCAGCTCGTTGTCCGAGATCACGCCGCTCCTGTCTTTATCCACCCTAAACAATCGAGGAATCCAGGGTGAGCCGGCAGGTTCCTCCAGCGCGTCACGCGCCCCACCCGCGGGGGTAGGAAGGCCGGAAGCCCCTGGACGTCCTGAGAGCCCGGCCCAGCCCCGGGCTTTGTTCTTAGGCGTTCTCCCGCCCCCACCCCGGCCAGTCGGAATCACATCGCGACACTTGCTCCCCTTTTCGCAAACAGCGAACGTTCTCCCAAACAATCCGGTCACGCCCGGCCCAGCAGTCCCGCAAGTCTCGGCCGTTCACTCGCTCACGAAGACTCGGGCGCGGCGTCTACGGCTCCGCCCGTGGCTGCCGGAGCTCGGGGCGCCAAGGCTTCTGCTGGCTCCCGTTCCCCGAAACCAGGGTCTCCGGCAGGCCTTCTGGCAGGGCGGAGCGGGACAGGGGAGGCCACCATCGGGGGTAGGGTGTGCGGCCGCGGAGGACTCCGCACCGCAGGAGGGGCCGGTGGCGCCGGGGCCGAAGCTGGAGGCCCGGCTCGGAGGCCGGGGACGCCAGGGCGGCGGCCGGGGGGCCCGGGGCGGAGGGCGGAGGCTGGGGAGCCGGCGCGGAGAGGGGCCGGGGGCGGGAAGGGACCCGGCAACGGGCACACGGGACCCGAGCGGCACAGCCCTCACCTCTGGAAGACGTTCCACAGGAAGCTCTGGTCCGGCAACGCCGCGCCCGGGGCAGGGGCGGCGCCGGTGCGGTAGGAGTAGGCTGCCATGGGCCGAGCTTGAGACACCAGCCGTGACGGGGAGAAGAAGCGGTGACTCCACTTCCGCCTCTGTCGGGGGCGGGGCCTGGACGACAGACCACTTCCGGCGTTACCGGAAGTGCGTGCAACGGGGTCAGTCATGGGGCCCGGCGCGGCCAATCTGAACCTAGCCCGAGTACGGCGGCCGCTGCGGGGCGCTTCCCCAGCTGCTGCCTGTTCCGGTGCTCCCGATTTCCCCCGCGGGCCTGTGAACGCCGGTTTTGGCCCTCGTCAGCCTCTCCGGCCTCCGCCTCTCCTGCCCCCGGACTCCTCCTCACCGCCGCCCTCCTGCCCCGCGACCCGTCCTCACCGCCACCCTTCTGCCCCGGGACCCCGCCTCACCGCCGCCCTCCTGCCTCGGGGACCTTTCACCTTGTCTGGTGGAGCCGAGTTGAACCTGGACCTGTGGCTGTGTCTCTACAGAAGGTGGCCTCCCTGTTATTCGGGGATATACGTACACAAAAGTGTTTTCTAGAAAGTAGTGGAAGGGTGCTGTCCTGACTCGTGACAGGCTGCCTTGAGGGCAGAGTGGAAATGATCATCTAAAGGGTCTTCCACTTGTTGAAAACCATTAATTCTTATATAAAAGCAAATTAATTGAAGCAAATATGGTTCAGTTCTGGGAGGGGAAGGAACGTGTGTGGAATTTGAACTTCTCTGAACTTTTTTCAATGCCCTCTCCCCTAAGCTTCTTTGTACAGGGTTTAACCTGTGCCCCCACTCCTCAGTTGTCTCCTTGGACCTATGCAAATGAGACTTCGCAAGTTAATCACTTCGCGTTTTCGAAGATAGTGGCCACCCCAACCCATCCAAGCCCCTCTCCTACAGGTTAAAGAGCTTCGATTCCTCACTGATCTGGGACCTTGTGGTCCCCTTCCTTGGACCCCCCTCCAGTTGGTAAATGGTAGCCTTTCAGTGAGTTTCCCCACCCCTCTGAAGACCCCACCACCTACATTCTGGACCCTAATTCCACAGAGCAGCTTCCATACTTTTTTAGCACAAGCATCACGATGTTGGGAAATGCTGAGCTTTTGGGCAGACAACTCCCTTGGGTCTTACACACTCTGTCAGGCCAACATCCTGCCTGTCCTGTGTTCTGTGCCAGGGTTCCAAACCAAACCCATTGCCATCAAGTGGCTTCTGACTCAGCGGCCCAGTAGGACAGAGTAGAACTGCCCCATAGGGTTTTCAAAGCTATAACTCTTGATGGAAGCAGACTGCCACATCTTCCGCAGAGCGGGTGGTGGGTTCAAACCGCCAACCTTTCCATTAGCACCCGAGCACTTAACTACTGTGCCACCAGGGCTTCTGTGCCAGTGTTCAAACCAGAAAAATGAAACCCATTCCCGTTGAGTTGATTCTGACTCGTAATGATCCTATAGGACAGAGTAGAACAGTGCAATAGAGCTTCCAAAGAGCGGCTGGTGGATTCAGACTGCTCCGTTTTGGTTAGTAGCCTGAGCTCTTACCCACTGGCTAGCAGGGCTCTGTGCCAGGGTTCAGGACCCTGAATTTATGCCTGTTAGAGGTAATGGCATTGTTTCAGTCTGTCAGGTCTTTCAAATCCTGATTCAATAAACCCTGATTTGCTTCATCCTCAGATGCGGTAAGCATTTCTTCTGAGTTTTTATCCCAGTTGTTTACTGGAGTACTGAGCAACAGAGAGCCAAGGACACGGTCTCTATCAGTGGCACCTGAGACTTTGTTCCCTGTGGACACAGATCCATTATTCAGTGCTCTGGACACAGCTATAGATCTGATCAGCTTTCGATTCTCCAAGCTGTATTATCTTCTGTCCTACATTTCTTTCTCGTCCATGAAGCTACATACTTGAGATTTCTTCCAGACTCTTCAAAGAAGCTAAGATATTCTGTGGCTCTGGCATTCACCTAAAGTGATAATCTACAAACCTCTCTTTTATAAGAAACCATGACTCAGAGATGTTAAGTAACTTGCCTAACGTCAAAAAACAGCCAAGAAGAAGAGACCCAAGCCAGGCCTTTCTACGCCTTTCCTACCCAAATCACCTCAGTGGCAACAAGGCTAGCCCTGAAAAGGGGGATTAAGTACTAGGAAGTTAAAGTTTAAAGCCCCCCCAACCACAAACGTATACCCCAATAAATGCACAGCTGGATGCATCTAGGGCAGAAAATTGGTCTGACGTGGTTCCCTGAAATGCAGCCTCAGCCTTCCTTTACCTCAGCCCTTATCTCTGGCACTGGTCAAGTGCTGCCTCTGAGTGATGTGCTGGGTGGCTGTAGGGGTGACCCTGTCCTCTAGGGGTCCTCTTGCCCTGCTTCTCTCTGACGTGCCCTGCAGGAGGCCCTCGCCTCCCACCCTTGACTGGATCTTAGCAGTGTGGGGCTAGCCGCTATCTCCCCGCCATTGTGGGATCCGATTCCCTCCTGACCAAGCGTGTTCAAAGCTTTCCACTGTGAGTATCATGCTCCAGGATACAGTAGTTGACAAATAAGCTGAAAGATAACAGTTCTGCTTTCTTTCCAGCATTAATTCACGTATCCAAATACTGGATCAGTCTTTCCTTTGGTCTAATTTCTCTGTCCTAATTTGAAAATGCCTTTTATTGTCCTGAGAGTTTTTCTGAACTTTGGCTCCTTCTGGTGCTGGCACATCTGAGGCCTCACGGTCTATGTTTTGTTTGCCTCATGTCTTTGGCACCTAGCAGGCTCCCAATAATATTTCTTTTTTTTCTTTTTACTGTGAAGCATCCTATTTTTATTTTTATTCTTGTGCTTTAGGTGAAAGTTTACAATTCAAGTTGGTCTCTCATAAAAAATTTATACATACATTGTTTTGTGACTCTACTTGCTCTCCCTATACTGTGACAGCACACTCTTCCCTTCCACCCCAGAGTTCCCAAGTCCCTTCAACCAGCTCCTGACCCTCTATGCCTTTCTCATCTCGCCTCTGGGCAGGAGCTGCCCATTTAGTCTCATGTATCTACCTGAACTAAGAAGGACACTCTTCACGAATATTTTATGTCCCATAGTCCAGTCTAATCTTTGTCTGAAGAGTTGGCCTTGAGAATGGTTTTAGTTTTGGGCTAACAGAGAGTCCAGGGGCCATGTCTTCCAGGGTTCCTCCAGTCTCAGTCAGACCATTAAGTCTGGTCTTTTTACTACAATTTGAGTTTTGCACCCCACTTTTCTCCTGCTTCATCAGGGACTCTCTGTTGTGTTCCCTGTCAGGGCAGTCATTGGTAGTAGCAGGGCACCATCTAGTTCTGGTCTCAGGCTGTTGAGGTCTCTGGTTTATGTGGCCCTTTCTGTGTCTTGGGCTAATTCTTTCCTTGTGTCTGTGGTGTTCTTCATTCTCTTTTACTCCAGGTGGATTGGGACCAATTGATGCATCTTAAATGGCCACTCACTAGCTTTTAAGACCCCAGATGCCTCTCACCAAACTGGGATGCAGAACAGTTTCTTTAAAAACTTTGTTATGCCAATTGACCTAGATGTCCCCTGAAACCATGGTCCCCAGATCCCTGCCCCTGCTACTCTTTCCTCCGAAGTGTTTGGTTGTATTCAGGAAACTTCTTAGCTTTGATTTAGTCCAGTTGTGCTGACTTCCCCTTTAGTGTGTGCTGTCCTTCCCTTAACCTAAGATAATTCTTGTCTACTATCTAGTTAGTGAATAACCCTCTCTCTCCCTCCTCATTACCATCAAAGAATGTTTTCTTCTGTGTTTAAACCTTTTCTTGAGTTCTTACAATAGTGGTGTTATACAATATTTGTCCTTCTGTGACTGACTAAATTCACTCAGCATAATGCCTTCCAGATTCCTCCACGTTATGTTTCAGGATTCATCGTTGTTCTTTATCGTTTCGTAGTACTCCATTGTGTGACTATACCATAATTTGTTTATTCGTCCGTTGATGGGCATCTAGGTCGTTTCCATCTTTTTGCTATCGTGAACAGTGCGGCAATGAACATGGGTGTGCATATATCTATTTGTGTGACAGCTCTTATTTCTCTAGGATATATTCCAAGGAGCAGGATTGCTGGATCGTATGGTACTTCTATTTCTAGCTTTTTAAGGAAGCGCCAGATCAATTTCCAAAGTGGTTGTAGCATTTTACATTCCCACCAACAGTGTATAAGTGTTCCAGTCTCTCCACAACCTCTCCAACATTTATTATTTTGTGTTTTTTGAATTAATGGTAGCCTTGTTGGAGTGAGATGGTATCTCATTGTAGTTTTGATCTGCATTTCTCTAATGGCTAATGATTGTGAGCATTTCCTCATGTGTCTGTTAGCTGCCTGAATTCTTTGGCAAAGTGTGTGTTTATATCCTTTGCCCATTTTTTAATTGGGTTGTTTGTCTTCTTGTTGTTGAGGTTTTGCAGTATCTTGTAGATTTTAGAGATTAGATGCTGATTGGATTTGTTGTAGCCAAAAATTTTTTCCCAGTCTTTAGGTTGTCTTTTGACTCTTTTGGTGAAGTCTTTGAATGACCATAAGTGTTTGATTTTTAGGAGCTCCCAGTTATCTAGTTTCTCTTCTGGTGTTTGTGCATTGTTACTTATGTTTGTGCATTGTTACTTGTATTCTGTTTATGCCATGTATTAGGGCTCCTAGCGTTGTCCCCATTTTTTCTTCCACGATCTTTATCATTTTAGATTTTATATTTAGGTCTTTGATCATTTTGAGTTAGTTTTTGTGCATGGTTTGAGGTATGGGTTTTGTTTCAGTTTTTTGCGTATAGATACCGAGTTATGCCAGCACCGTTTGTTAAAGAGACTGTCTTTTCCCCAGTTAATGGACTTTGGGCCTTTGTCAAATATCAGCTGTTCATAGGTGGATGAATTTATGTCTGGATTCTCAATTCTGTTCCATTGGTCTATGTATGTGTTGTTGTACCAGTACCAGGCTGTTTTGACAACCGTGGCGGTGTAATAGGTTCTAAAATCAGGTAGCATGAGGCCTCCCACTTTGTTCTTTTTCTTCAGTAATGCTTTACTTATCCAGGACCTCTTCCCTTTCCATATGAAGGTGGTGATTTGTTTCTCC